ATGCATTGATTTATCTTTATTTTCATGTTTATTCATCCTGTAATTGACTTTGGATGTTGCTAAATAGATATAAATAAATAAATAGGTTTACATAAAAAATCAATTATTTGATAAAACAGTAATCCTCACGAAAAGAGACCTTTATATATGTATTTGATTAAAATACTTCCAAAAACTGTTGTTCCTTGATATACTTAAGTTCACTTTTCGTCAGACCTGAGCACAAGTTCTCAATTTATTGGATATTTTGTGTATACTGAGGAACTGTATTTTTATGCACTATATTGAATTGGTCACGGAGTTGTTTTGAAGATTAAGATCATTCAACAGTAACATTATTTTGAGGTACGTAGGTCAATTTGAGATACTGGAAAACAGTCGCACACAGAACATGATTTCACATGTTTTTTGATGTGATATTGCCACCGACAACAATGAAAATAGATTTATCAAATGCCTTATGAGATTCGGTTTTATTTTCCTATATTCAAATAAAATGATGGTAAATGGTTGATTCAGCGCAACCTATACACAAATAACGTTACAAAGCTCACTGGAAGATTTTATTGCTGGAAGTCTAATATTGCTGTAAAAGTACAGCTACATCCAGCTACCATAATGATCCAATATCTATTCCATTCCCGACATTTTTCAATAGGGCGCATCCCGCGGTGGTGTATCCCCCTCCTCCCCGACCCCCGCAGACAGCCCTTTATTGAAGTAGGGTTTTAATCAAAGTACAAAGCTCCTATATATCGACGGCACGGCAGTAATGGTAACTCCCTGACGGTGAGCTGTTTTCGCAAGATGGAGTTTGCTAACACACCCACCTCCTTTGATCTTCTTACCCATCGCTCCACGTTTTCCACGTAAGAGCCGACTGACTGACTGTCTATACCTGATGCGGTTTATTAGGTTTTCGCATGGCCGACGTTGCTAGCGAAGACGTAAATTCTTTTTTCCACAAACATGACATCCCGCACGTCTACAAATTTATGGCAATCGTCAAATTTTACAGGGAAAATTTTACAATCCATACGTTTTTTTTATTAAGGTACAACTTCCCCCAAACTATGTGAGAATGGGTTAATTCATCAACACAGCCTATACCATCTGGAAAAATCAAAGGACTAATTGCTGCCCCATTTTTTTATTATTGATTCAGATGACGAATATTCAAAAGTGTATTTTATAGCGAACATCGTTTACTTTGAGACCATTACATTTACTTTAGACGTTAGATTACACTTGAAAATTATTGTTGAAAAGGTAACTTCTAGAGGTCTTACATACCAGTTGAAAAATGGTTGTCATTACCTGACCCACATAAATGATATTTTATTCTCAAGCAATGATAAGGAAGATGTTTTTCAACACCTCTTCTTCTTCTCCGTGACTTTTTCAATTTCACCTTATTATTCAGAGAGGCATCATTAGGTTTAGTCATTCTTAAAGGAATCTATTTCCTACTACTAATTTTTCTGAACTTGAAAAGGGATTTTAAAAGAAGAGAAGATTTAGGCAACTGAAAGTGATCTGCTTTGAGTGACTAAAACTAAAAACTTGTCTACCCAATAAGAATTCCAATCATACAACTGACTGAATCGATTATATGAGAAAGACGGACCTAGAGTCGTACCGTTTAAGAAAGTATATAGATTCGATATTCTTGCGAATATCTAGAATAATCATAAATATTGCAGCACTGCACAAAAACCTGTTCCACTATAAAAGTACATACTCGTAATCGTGGTGTAACGTACCAAGGAAGATAAATATTCATGGTAACATTTATTACATTTGGCAATAATAAGGTTCAGATAATGCGACCAGGGACCAGGCTTCAGTGGGGCGGTTCGAGTTGGGGCACTTTTTTCTGTTAAGATACGAGAAGAGCAGGCTTGTCATTGTGAGTTGAGCAACTAACAAGTTACATTTATAGTCTGAACCGGAAGCCGCATATTATGCAGAGTGTCTCGTCCATACGAAACAGAACTGTCCAAAGAAAACTATTTATAGGTTAGTATCAGGGGGCATTATTATAAAATACACTGATCCAGGATCTTTTCTGTTACATTTTCGGACAGACCCCTTCAAAAGAAAAATATTGATATTATGTGTTCTGACTATTAGTTATAGAATTAAGTGTAATTTGAACATCTACTATCATGACCGGTAGATGGACACACGGTATATTTTAATACTTTTCCAATTCTTCCCTTGATATTGAGGTCAAGAAGTCTTGTGTAACTAGCTTAGCAGTTATATTTATAGTTATTTTTTATCAACTAAGATCCGTAAACATAACATAGATATAAAAATATCACATCATCCAGAGAAACAAAAGAAATGGATTGTTACAACCAGCCATACAGAATGTAGGAAAAAAGTAGTTTTTCTGGATATAAGAAAGCAGATCTAAAATAACAAGAAATATTAAATCATCGTTTATTTAAATATTGTAATTTTAGCTTATAAATACACCCTGGACCTTTAGAGCATGTCAATTAATGCAATCAGCACTAAGAATATATTAACATGTCAGCCACCCTTAATGATTTTTTTTTGGTAAGTTTATTACATTACAGTCTTACTACGTTAGAATTGGTAAGAAAAGTTGATTATTCTTTGCTCATTTGCCAAATTGACACTATGGGTCTATTTTATAATTTAGGATTCAAAATATTGCCTCTATCATACTTTCTCATTGAAAGTGTAATACCATTTTTACTTTAAGATCCATATTTCCATGTTCAGTTTCATTACACAAGTATTGAGACGCTTTGATTCAATGGATTAGTTCTAATGGATCAAGAGTCCTTAGTTTTGACCATACGTCTCCCTTTTTTGTAGTGTGCATTTCGAAGTAACTTAAAAACTTCATAAATACATCATTATAATAGGGAAAAGTTTGTGAGGAGTAAAATCCAAGTATACAGAGTGTTGCATTTAATTTTTTTGAGAACAAGTACATTTTGCGTTTTGACCATATTGTATCGATGTTACAAAATATAAAAAAATGTATAAATCAGGTTAACATTGAGAATAATTGAAAATTTTGGATCAAAAATTTAATACTGTACCTACCCATCAGGACAGCAGGTCAGTAGACTGTCAAACATTAGCGTTCTTTCAAATAAAATACAAAATAGCTCAATAACTAATAATGATAATTATGTGCATCAATCTCTGTTGAATATTCAATAAAAAATAACACATTCCATCAAGAAAATCAGCTTTCATGTGTGGGTCAAAACCTAATTAGAAGCAATACTCTTCCGGGACACCCAGTACAGTTATAACGTCGACCAAACACGATTCGCAATGATTTGTTATCAAAATCATTACCCTGCCGATAGGATATTGATAACAAATATATAAAAATATGAAATATCAAATAACTGAATTTGAGGCTGGTTTACCTTTAAGAGCCTGCGAATATCTCCAACTGTCCTAGCATCTTGATACCTTTTTTATCGACAGCAATCTACCTAATACCTACAGTATTCGAAAGAGGAACAACGGCGAAATAACTGATTTAATCCTCTAAAGTACGCTAGCAGCAGGACTGGGATTTATTTGGACTCCATAAATATCTTCAACGTTTCGGCGTCGTCTGCCTTCCTGTAAACATCCACCCTAATGGGATTGTTTTATGTTACAGCTCATTGCCATTATAGGAACAGTTTGGAAACTTGATAGAATAAAGGCGTTTGGGAATGGCGTAGTTTGTTTGGTCTGTATTTGGTCACCTTGAATACTTCACAATAGTATTGTTTCATTGATGAAACACATCTGTTGACGTCCAACATCTCGGAAAAGTATTGCAAAGTACAAATATTGCATTGCAGATCAAACATGCGATACTTTGTTAAATTGCTGCTTTTACCTGTCATATCTCTAGTACAATTCCATAATAAATAAATATCTTCTGTTGGCCAAACTAGGTTGTGCGATTCTGTGCAAAAATAACGGGTCTCTGGATATACGAGCCTTATTAGGGTTCTACAGGAAACACGCCCATTTGGATTCTGTTAATAGCTAATCACAATTAGTTTAAAAATCACGGGAACATATGGCGCATGATCAGAACAGTTCTGGGATAGTTTCTTTTGGAACCCGAATAAGTTACTTAATACAATTCAATATCTGTCAGATACGACATTCTTACTCATTCACCATTTTTCAAAACCGATCTTGCTCTGTTACAGTGGAAGTAACGATTAGTACTCATGTATTTGTTGTGTATATTGGTATTAATAATTCCATTTTCTATGTGAATCCATTACACATATATCTACTTAGATATCATTAAATTACTTATTACCGCGGAAAGTTAGCTGAAATTATGGTGGAACTCTTGTTGCATCCACCACAATTTTAAAAGTTTTCAAACAGGAAAGTTCTAAAATTATATTAGCAGTTTTTATCATACAAATATTTTTTAAGTGATTTCAAGTGAGATTAATCATATTCGCAGTGCTATTATCATTTACCTTATAAAGGCACATACTTCACAACCATGATTTACACCAAATGCCTTCATGAGCCCTTTTAGGATGATAGAAACGTGTAAAATAAAACACATGAAACACCACAAAAAACGAGGTTTTTATGGACAGATATTATTATTTTTTTTAATCAAATGCCGGAAACGCAAATATTTTCTGATTTACAGCTCCTCGTTAGAGAGTGGAACATTTACTACAAATATAGGCCTGGTAACTTCTTACTGGATCAAAGTTACAGGTAATTGCTGATACTTGTTCATTTCTCTGAATATATTTACTGTTGAGAGTTACAACTTGTTTAATTGCAATATCGTTGATGTAAAGAATGCTCGTACTGTGTATGCTGTATGCCAGTCGGTGATTCTCCTCAAACTTTATTTTTGACATCTAGCTTTCCGATTGTAATAGATTTGTAGAGTAAAACACCTTACTAGTTTGATGATTCGCTTTATTATCATTAGTATGGATTGCCAGCAGTCGTGGTCATTTATCCGCTTACTGCAAATATTTATACCAGTAATACCTAGCAATTTTTATTAGGTTTAAATTAACAACTTGTATACGGAGTGATAGTGTCATAATACACCATCTTCCTTCCTGCATCGTAGAACGCTTCCCGCCTCTTTGAGCCCTGCAACAATAAATATTTATCACTTTTAGCAATCACTGACTTTTAGATTTTGCTCAATCAAAGTGATTAATGTATTCTAGTGGTTTGTGATGAGGGAATGTACTAAGAATAAATTCAACCCTTCATTATAACTGTAATTTACTAAATTATATGTTTTTGTGTAAATGAGCTTATTTAACAGATAGTGACAATGTGGGTAATCTAACTCACTATAACATATGATCTGCAGTCAGGAGACTACCAGCTTCAAAAACCTTGACAACTGTTTGGGTTTTATTAACACAGACATAACAAGACATATACAAAATAGAACAGCTAGAAAACTGATATACCTAAAACGATAAAATTATATTATTATAATACATTCAAAAAACTTTATATAAAATCATTTTAATTTATTCGTATTATATGAGATGCAATAGCAGAGCTGACAAAACAGTATAAATTAATCAATAATAAAACATCGGCTTGCATATTTGTAGACTTAACTAAACCTTATGATACGGTTAGTCATATAAAACTTAAAATCTTTAGACTGCAATGGTATAAGAGGTGAAACAGTTAACTTATTATCCAGCTATTTGAGCACCAGGAAGCAATGTGTAAGAATGAAGTCGTAACTAGCGACTTTAGGTTAGTTGAATACAGGGTGTCCCAGGAGCAACACGTATAGCTACAAAACGAGTTCACAACAACTGTACAACAGCTTGTGCTAAGTTAACATCTTGTACAAAAACCTACGTTATGTCACAAAAACCTACGAAATGTCAAAAAATACCGACAAAATGTCACTTTTCAAGACACATAATACGCGTGTCGAGTTCCAGCACTGCTATGAGGAGTGAAAGACCCGTCTTCAGCGCTACGAGGCTTCAGAAGGAAGTGATTTTGAGGTTGACAATATAATATTGTAAATAAATTATATTTGGATGAAAATTGAAAAAAATAGCCTCACCACCTAACTTACGTAATTCGCTGACCATCACTATGAACACTAATAACACAGTCACTGTACAAAGAGCAGATAATATAAAATATTTAGGAGTTCATTTACTCGTAGACAGCAATCTGAAGTGGGATATATACAGTTATTATCTTGTAAAACAGCTTAGGACCTGTTACCCAGATTTAAACCGTTATCAACATTCCTGATCCAAAAACATCTAAATATTCTTTATTTAGCCTTTGTTCAGTGACATTTCGTATATCGAATCTGAAGCTGGACTAGAGCAGCAGTGACCTTTATCAATAATGAAGTAGCGCAAGAACGTATTCTCAAGGTTAAGTGGAAAAAACTAATTTTTACCACTCAAATGAGTTATTTACTTAAATGCTCGATTCGAAACAACTACATTCCTCTAACTTGCCCGTATTTCAGTTCAAAAATAGGGTCTCTCAGCACAAAGTTAATCATAAGTATGATACGCCATTACAACTGAAACTATTTGACCTTAACTAGCTATTCTTAAATAGTATAGGCGAATTTCAGACTTTATTGATGTGATACCTAGTATATATATAACTATGTAATGTTTCCTTCTTTTATATTGTCTATTTTATTTTAAATTTCAGCACCTTCTTAATATCTATTGTAGTGCGTGCGCTATTTTCTTTTTTAGGGTATAGGTACTCAATCAACTCCTATCTTTTAAAATGTTTGAATTTCACTGAAACTATGATGTTTCAAGATTAAGTTGTTCCTACTATCGGCTATTGTATTATTGGAATCTTATAAACCGCAACAGTAGCAACAACAACAACAACATGCAATCGAACGGAATGACCGTTATGAACGGAAACAACCAGTTGAAGGATATGAGAATTCCACTTTTTAACATACAGCTTAACAAAATGTTTCTAATTTTTGATATTACATATATATATATAACAAATAGTAGAAAAATAATGGGCAAAATCCGCAAAAAAGAGGAATGTGGATTCGAGCAGAAAATAGGATAGGTAACCCGAGCGATACGTATTTCTGCTGGGTGTAACCTGAGGAAACGATGATGGAGAGGAAAAAAAACGACACACGAAGTCCACAACAATCTACTTTTGTAGTTTCATATGTGCATTCATTTCGGGCCTGATAAAGCCAACCAGCAGAAATACGTATCGCTCGGATTACCTATCCTATTTTCTGCTCGAATCCACTTTCCTCTTTTTTGTGGATTTTGCCCATTATTTTTCTACTTTTTGTTATATACCTTTCTCCGCATGATCATTTTCTGTTTATATACATATATATATTTATATTTATATATATATATATTTATATATTATTCGACCATGAGTATTTATTATCATTGCCAGAATCAAACATCTAGATCGAAATAAAGCATGACGAATGGACAAATAATATTAGATTTATTTGTACAGAAATGAGCGACGATATTGAGCATGATGATGAGTTTAACAACGGCACAATAGCAGAAACTACCCTTGTGTGAATCCCTATTCATCCCCAACATATAATTCATCATTATTTCATCCCGTCAAAGCTAGTGCATTACCATAGCCAAAAACTGACACTATCACCCGTCCCTTCCCAGTATTTAAGGGATGAAAAGGGACTTGTAGGAGGGTGCCTTCGATGTCGATGCTGGATCGGTAGCCTCGGGAGAAGGACAATGGCCAACCCTAAATGGGACCACTTGCAATAAAAGGTCAGTTATAGGCTGGGTGAGTTTAGCTACGTTTACACCAGGAGTCCCATAGTTTTTGTGGTACGTAAAATTCAGCCGGGCGAATTTGGCCGCCCAAGGGAATATTCCCCTCCTTCCGCTCTTCAAAAAGTTTTGGAGACTTATGCTCCAAACGATGCTCTCTGTCGGTTTTTGCTTTTCAAATAATTTATGAAACAAACTCGTAAGCTTGTACTGGGAAAATTCCTGCATGGTAATTGGTAGGATAGTAAAATAGTTGTTGACATCAAAATCAAAGTGACCAATAATCTCTGATGCACCAGTATGTATGGGGTGGTATCGACTCCAAAAAGGTCTATAGTCTAATCATATTAGACGAAAATACTCCTGGTTTGCGAAATAATTGTGAAAAAGTCTGGTTTTATTGCTGCAAGTTGTTCAACGGGGTATTCAAAACATGGACGCATAAAATGGGTACAACAAAGAATGAGAAAACGTGTTTTTTGGAATTCAATCGACAGTATTGGCAGGAACGAAAAAACTCTTCATGGAAGACTTTAAGGTATTTACGAGACCGGCATAACGAGACTACACGTAAAAGGATCCGACTAATATCAAAAAAGTTATGGCCGAAAACCGAGGCAAACTGCAAGTTTTGGCACTTGCTGGTAATGCGGCGATGGTTTCTCGCAGATATTTGAAATTCTTCAAATTCGTAGGATTCGTACTTCTAAATAACCACAACAAGATTGGAGTAGATTGGTCAAGTAGTTTCTGAGAATTTCTGATTGTGTATCTCAAGAAACCTGTTTTCCGGTCATCACTACTAGTTTATTTTATAGCAAAATACACTAGTTTACCTTCCCGATATGAATCGCAAACCATTCTGGAAGGTAAATGTTATTTTTATGCAAAAAGGATGGGTAACGCTTTTTCTTATAAACAAAATCAAACATTTCTTATTTGTAATTCGCAACAATAGATGATAGGCACATCCGCTTTTTTTAAAATGTGTATAGTAACGTAGGTTTTTCGAATATAGTAGAATATCGTAGCGAAACTGTTCAGTTACTCAAATATACTAAATTTTTGAATTTGTTTAGAAGAAGAAAACATGACCTTTGTTTTTCGCATAAAAATAACATTTATATTTCGGAATGGTTTGTGATTCATATCGGCAAGGTAAACACGTGTATTTTGTTATCAACCCTGTATATTGCTAAATAAACTAGTAATGATAGTTGGAAACCAGGTGTTTTGTGATAAACGATAAGAAATCCTCAAAAAAGTACTTGACCAATATAATCCAATTTTGTTGTTGTTATTTATAAGTATGAATCCTAAGAATTTGAAGATTTTCAAGAAGTTGCGTGAAATTGTCGTCGCTTTACCAACAAGTGCCAAAACCTGCATCTTGTCTCGTTTTTCGGTCATAACATTTTTTCTATTAGTCGGATCTTGTCTCATTTTGTAGGTCTCATAAATACCTGAAAAGTTTATGTGAAATGTTTTTTCGTTCTTGTCAAGACTTCTCATTCTTTGCTGTCAAATAAAAAGTTTTCCCACAATAATGGTGTACCCATTTTATGCGTTCATATTTTAAATATCCCCTTGAACAACTTGCACCAATAAAACTAGACTTTACAATTATTTCGGGAAAATTTTTTAATATGATTAGACTACTAAGTATTGGCAGAAAAGCCGTGAATCCGTCTTTGCACAAGAGCTAGATCGCCTATGAACGTCATCTGAGATACAATGACGTAATGGTCGTTTTGTTATTCTGTCATAGGACGTATGGGATCATCATAGCAGCTGCGGTGTTCCGGCATTTAGGGTTCTGCCTGTGAGGCTGCTTCGATATAAAAAAAAATACTACTAATTTACTGCTTTTTACTGCTTTTGACACAGGATGAAATGGCCGTACCTTGAATTAGTGGTCTGCATACTGCATGGAGTATCGGAACCATGGAGACAAAGATGTATGAGAATGATTATAATACATTTTGGCATTCACGACGTGTCTATTTTGGCGCAATACATAAAAAAACTAGACTCGTATATCGCATAGATAATGCAAGCCGCGCATAGCTGATAAACAGGATGCTATTTAATGGGAGACCATAATTACAAGGGCACATTCTTGAAACAATTTAGAGTACAACCTTTCATATAAACATGTGCTCTAAAGGGCCGAGATACAGGGTGTCAAAGCTTCAGAAACATAATTGGTGTTTTAATAATACCTCAAAGATCATTGTGCCGATTATGTTGAATTTTCGCAGTATTGTTCACTGCAGTGAACTAAAAGATAATTGTAACTTCTACTGGCTTCTCGGTGGTAGTCTCATGAATCATACTGAGAAAAAGATGTACGCCGATAGCTTTTTGAAAATATACATTTTTTCGGATTGAGAAGCTAATGGTACCTACAACTTTTGTGTTTCTTGGTGTTTTTCGTACCTTACTTCATTTACGGGCAAACATATTAAAGCTTTATTACAATGTCGAAAAATTATTAAAATGAGATCAAACCAACTTTGGTCGTTGCCAAGGAATGTTGTTTTGGTATTATGAGCACATTTTTTACTTTCCGTAACATTTTGCTATTATTTTTTCTCTGACAAAACCCATAATATTTTAAACTCTGACACCCTAGAAACCAAAGTTCTTCATGCCCTCTATAA